TTGATCGATTTATTTTAATAAAATTTTAAATATTTAAATTATAATTGAATTCACTTATCATAATTTAAAATAGTAAAACTTTTATTCATGAGAATATTTTTGTCATATTTTACTACTAACTACTTATTTAACCAAATTTTTATACATTTAATGATAAGTTCGTGAATAACATTTCAAATTTTAAAAATATGTGAACTTTTTAAAAGCGTTCATGTATGTGTATAGATGTATATATATATATATATATATATATATATATATATATGTACGTGAGTGTATACCCACTGATGTAATCATGATTTAAACATGCAGCAAATTTTTATAGTGTAACTGATTGATTAATTAACTAACTGACCTGTAAATAAAAGTAGACGTATTCATATAAAAATGGTGAGAATTATTAATTTTATTTTAATAGGAATAATAATTAACTAAGTGAATGTACCGATTGTTTGTACAAAATCACTCTTGGAATCTTTAAAATCAGTGTAAACATCATTTCACTTAATTCGGAATGGTGTATGTTGAATTCAGAAAACATTGAAATTATTTACCATAGTTAGTGGTTACTTGTTCTGTTGAAATTAGACATCGTTAAGTAGTAATCTATTTATCATAAATCATTCAAAATTAATTACTTTGGAATTGAATTTCATAACCATATATGGTTGTCTTTATCGTTAATTTCCATCATATTTTGGTAAAAATTGATTTTGAATACCTTGTAAAATAATTTTAATCTCCATTCAGAATTCATTTAAAAAGATATAACATCTGAATATCATTTGTTAAGATAATCACATACATGCTAGTACAAAACCAATTCAGTCAAGGCTACATTCGTATTCAGTGCATAACTGTTATACAGGATCACTAATGGGACTTGTTTTGATATATTTTTTACCTCAATTGTGTATTTCCGAATATCTCATGTTCCTAATGGCTTGACAATATATATATATATATATATATATATATATATATATATATATATATATATCACAATTAGAGTAAATCAAAGAGAATAGTCATTTCAAAACCTGAAGTGTAAAATAAACCATGCGTTGTGTTTAATGACATAGTAAATCAAATCAAATATAATCTTACTTCTATCTGTTAGCTTTTTATGAACAAAAAGCACATTTGAATGGTAAACTAAACAAGACAATAAATATACACTTTCACTCCGTATTTGAATTTATTTTACCAGCTATATGCTATTAATCTGCAGCTTTTATTTTCCAAATAAATATGTCTTTTATTCTAATTATACTTTCATTATTTAACAGAAAAAATATTCAAAGTTGTCTGAATACTGATAGATTGGTTTTCATGAAAACATCGTTATACTAAACAGAATAATTCATTTATGGTTTATTATATATTATCTATATTTAAGTCTGTTTTGAATAGAATAATTTAAAACTTACTAAAGGAATGAAATAACTATCCAGTTTAATAAGAATATTTAGTTTTGATACTCATCAAAGTATATACTGTATTAATCAATAACCAATTGATAATCAATATCATGTTACCTACTTAGCCATATTAAACGAATTCTGAGTTTTAGTTGATAAAGACAATAAATAAGAATGCCTGTATTGATCTTATTGAGTCTATCTATCCATTCAACCATCTATTCAACAAATTTACAGTAAAAGGTGTTAATATTTTTGACACAAAAAGCTCCATCTGTTTATGACCGATTTGACTAATGCCCAGTATATAAGAAAAATCAATGCGTTTGAAATCCTAATTTGAAATTAGGTAATCTAATCAAAGATGATTAAGTATGATAAAGAAGATAGATTTGGCTCAGTCAATTAAATCTTATAAGAAAAATTTCAGATTCTTAGAATCATTTCTACAGAGGATCTTTGAACATATTCTAACAACTTACAATTTTCTTTACATAACTGATAGCTACAGTGTATACAGTATTTTCGGTTTCAGTGGACAAATACAACATAAACTGACATAAATGCTCTAAAATCGAGGTAGCTAAGTAACGTTTACATCTCTCAAAAGGTTCTGGAAACCCTTCACAGCTACGAAACATCAATGTTAAGTGGCTTACATTTCCTGGATAAGACTACTCACTAGACTTCAAGAAGGCTAGCTCTTGGATAACATAACATCATTATATATATATATATATATGATTTTTTTCAAACGACAATAAATGATTTGCAACTAACCCATCCATCTCAGAGAACCAAACACTGACAAAAGTTCGTAAGACTAATGACAACCAACTACGTAAGTACCGAGTTATTTTAATTTCCAAATATTTCATTCAATAGATTCTCTAACAGACTAAATTTGCTGTGTCTCCGATATATTTGATTTTATAGGACCTGATGAATTAATTGGTGTTCATTCTCTTTAGGTCATCATCAGAGAAGTCAAGTATTGAACTAACACTGATTTTTGTGACTATTTTCAGCCGATTCCATATGACTTGAACTTTTATTGAACATTTTATAGCTTGGTTCGGAAAAAAATTGGTCTTATTTAGGAAAAATAGATATGATAGTAGTTATCATATGGAAACTATTTATGTTCAAGACTTACTTATAACAGACATTGGTCACAGTATGTACAGTTAAGTGAACAGAACCATTTGTATTCAATTATCAGATTTCATCATGTTCAGATTAAGAATCTAAAAAATACCAGGAAGTTAATACGTTGCTTTCTTTCAATTACCTATAACCATATCACACTAAAAGACTAAACACCATAGTGTCACTTAGTAATTATTTTCCTTACTTAGGGTTTTCTGTCTAATCCTCGTTCATATCCGATCATTAGTGAGTAAGAATGAAAGCAAGTTAATATATTTATTTTTTATCATCATACTTATTTATCTATTCATTATGGTATTATCCATAAATCATAATTTCTAACAGATCTGAAACGTCATCGGAAAAATGTACCGAGATAATTATTGACACAAAAAGAAAAAAACAATCACACGAGAAGAATCAAAAACGATGTGAATATTGAATATATTTCCTTGAATATAAAACAACCTATAATGTATTACTATTTTATATTCTCTCTTCTTGTAAAAACAAAACAAAAATAAGTAAATAAACTAAAATCAAACTTTATTCGTTTGCATATTGATTTCAATTTGAATATTTTAAACTTATTTAAATCATTTAGAAAATTTTCTTATTTTTCATAAAAATCAATATTGTCTAGGGTTTTATAGCGATAATATTGATAATAATATTATAAGTGATTTTAATGATAAAATAACTTCAACTGGGATATTAATGTAAATTAGAATGAATTGCTGATTTAATTCTTTTTTTTATTAAAATCATTCAACAGAACACATCGACGAGAATAAGCAACATCATACGTATAATTTTCAGGTCTATCTGTAAGCATTTTATCTATAAGTTAATAAATTAAAATTCAATATATCAGGTTGTAAATGAGATAACAGTAGTTTATTGGTTTTGTTAGATGTGTATCATGTAATAAAACAGACATACTGAACTTGAAAATGTGGGCAATCGTGTTTCAATTCACTGTTGTAGAAGTATTGTGCTTGATTTGAATATTGAATGGTCCTATACTGGATGACTAATATCTCTTTAGGTTTAAAATGATGATTATCATTCATGTTACAATCAACTAACTGCCTAATATTTATTTGGTTTCGACGATTCTAACATTGATATTAAATCAAGATGAAGACTACGCTTGATATAAAATATCCCTACAAATGTATCAAAGCAAGGCGAATAGATGAAAATGTAACACTTTGGAAACTATTTTCCAAAAATGCAGTATGTATGTTACTAAAAATTATTTAGTGAATAAAAATGGTGTGTGATATTTTTATATCGTCCTAATTATTGGCGGTTATTTTACTCATTAGCTGTTCTTTTATCTTTTTCCGTTGGTAAATGTGTGTAAATTATGGAGTGTTGTAGTCTTGTACTTTATATATTTTATCACTCGAGTTTATGCTTTGAAAGAATATAGGAAAGAACAGAACGATACTAAGCGTCTAGTCAATCTTCCTAAGATTTCTTTATTGACAGTTTAGGACTGAGTGAAAATTCTACAGAAGCCATAGTTTTGCTTATTATACACATTATACATGCTAGTAGACTCTATTATTTGGCAAGGGAGAAAATTATAACGAAAAATACATGACTTAATACAATAATAATTTCTTATTTACTTATGTCTTATATTCTCTATTTTATTCGTAAATGCTCATCATATAACCTTATTTATTCTTTACACCTCTATGACCTTTAACTATTATAATAAAAACATTTTAATCATCTTATTATATTCACTAAATCTATTGTTATTATTCGTATTACGTAATCTATTATAATAATCTTTTTATTACGTCATGGTTAATTGTGTTCACATTTCCTCACGGAATTAGTACTTTTACAAATATATTATATGGTTATAGAAACTTTCGTTATCATTGCAATTCACTAGCAGCTTCCCACTTTCATTACTGTTATGTCCTATCAGGCAGGTTGTTAGTCACTTTTTGTTGAAATTCTACAGTTTGGTTTAAACCTGCAATATCTAGTAACGGTTATAATGAGAACAACTAATTATTCCATATTTTGTTGAGAAACTATAATTTAGTTGATGAATTATGTTTGTTCTTCAATGACTAATCAATACATATGTAGAGAGGGAAAAAATGGATGTATAACATGTTCCAAGTTTTATGATAGTTGTGTATATCTGTCGTTAATAAAATGCCTGGTGGAGATCATAAATATCGTGGAATGGATTTCAGAAAGATAATCGTTAAATGATTCTCTAAATGTTTCGAAAACAATGAATACGTTTATTCACAAATAAGCAAATGACTTGCAGTGTTGATTATTATACAATTGTTAGGAATCAGTAGGAAAATATTTCGATACTTCGTTCGTTTATTCATTTTATTAATTCGTTTATTTTATTGAGTAATAAATATTGTATTTTTTTCTACTAAGGTATGAACTTAAAGATAATACAAAATGTTCAAACATTGGAGAAAAATGTATTCAACGAATGGATGATTTATTTATTGAACTAGATCAAGATGCACGTGTACCACAAACATTAGCGCGAATCGATACTAAAGGTTTACCCACGGGTGTCGTACGAATAGATTTAAGTAAACATTATGCATATCAAGCATATAGTGGAAAACAAATTCCTGTTTCAACAGCATTTCGTGTAAGTTCTTTTAGTAATTTTTTTTCACTCTATCAATGGCATTTTCCCTTATTACCTATTTACAATTGCATAAATTCAAGTAAGTGATATAAAACATATCACTTCAAAAATTTTTGTTACTATGACTCAGTAATCCACTGCTCCAACTGTATTGAATGATTTTAGAAATGATTTATGCCTAATGAAAATATATTTATTCAACAAGATATCTTAAGTATGAGACTTCTTTATAAATTAAGCATCCGTTTTTCCGTTTATTTCAAATTTTTTTAAATAACACAAATAATCTCCCTATCCCTGAGCCTGAATTCTATTACATAAAATTTGAACTAAAATAAATGCTAAAATGAAACGTTAATATTTTTCAACTTGTATCGTGTCTAACTGTTCTCATTTAGTCTAAATGACTTCCATACTAAATCTTTAAATAAAGTTATTGAATAAGTCTAATTAAATAGTATCACTCAAGTGTGTCAAAACTTTATTCAACACTACAAAATGATGTTAGTCCACTGTGTAGGCGTATAAAACTGATCGATTTTCATTTAACACATAATGAAAAATAGATTTCTGTAAGAAAAAATAAGCTTCATACTAATAACTGATTGTATGTGTTATGACTAAATAATATGAAGGGATGAACTATGTTATATGGTGTGAATAATATATTCTGTATTCGCCTTTAAAGCTCTTCCTTACTGATTGTTTGTCTTATCGTTTACTCTAAGCTTAGATGATATTGTGTTTGAAAGGATTTGTATCCCGTCTATCTATCTCTTTTTCATATGCGGGTATCCTGGAAGGATTGTGTTAGTTTTACCACATAATCACAAGTTTTCAGTAACGATAGTGTGGTTAAATTCGATAGGTACTGTGGTGTGTGCTACTTATATCGACATACGTAATATATAACACTAGTTAAAAATAGAATGTCTGGTAGCAGAAGGTTGAGAAGATCGAGGAGGAAAGAACGGGAACAGAAAGCAATTGATATGAAAATACCAGAACAATGAAGTCTGAGACAATTAATGAAGTATTTACTGTATGGTTCTCAGATTTTACTAAGCGACTCTGTAATTCTCTGTTCAAATGAATTCGACTGTACCCACTTGTGTTCACGTTCACTACAGTACTACGTTTTAGTTTCAGCGTTAACATCAAAACTAGGATGTAAGCACATTCAGCTGACAAGCCCAACATAGGACACTCTAGATTCTACTTCTAGCCAACTATCCTAAAAATTAAATAATAATGATCAAAATTTCTGAATCACTATTCACTAGTTAATTTGAGATGATGAATCCCTGGAAACTTGAAATTTATTTCATAGAAAGCTTGTTTCAACCAATCTAAAATTATCCGAAAATATATACGTATTACTCACTTTTTCATTATGGATCTTTAATTTAGAAAATTATTGTTTCTAGCAACCATATAAACTTCATTTCGATCAATTATCTCTGTGAATAGTTTCAAATTGAGAAATTTTTTCGAGTATTGATAATATTTTTAGTTTGATAGGTAAATTGTTTAAATATCAGTTTCTATCATTAGTAGTATATTGTATTTTATCATATAGCCTAAAATATAAATTCATTATACAAACTATTCCAAAAGAACCTATTGATATTATTTTCATATTTTCAATTTCTTTAGTTTTTGATTCAAACAAAAAATGTCAATGGTTGAGATCATGAGTCAATTGAACTTCAAATGACTTATGATCTCAACCATTTAAATTACTACGATATTCACAAAAACCATTCTGATATTAATCAAATAAAATTGTTTAGATTTTCAACGACATTATGAAATTAATTCTATGTCGAAAATTATATCATCATAAGTATTTATGAATGAATTTAATGTTTTGTCATGAGTTTGCGTTTAGTACGTAAAAACAAGTTTTCTTAATAGAACTAAGATAACTTGAACTGAAGATATGATAAACTAGATTCAAATTAAAAATCAGAGTTATAATGGAGATTTAAAATGTCGAATACTTTGAATCTCTTTCAATTTGTTACACTTACTGATAATTAATCTTTGATTATTGTCTAAACGTTTACTGTCTAGTTCTTAATGTTAACCGGGCTATCTAGCCCGTCGTATGCCCTGATGGTGTTTTCGTAACTTTCAGGTTGCCTGATCTGCCAAGGGCGATGGGACAGTACATGATGCTATTGTTGTGTGCTAGGTTCAGAAAGAATTATATGCCATATGCATGCGAATCCGCCCTGTTATTGTTGCTATTGTTGTCCTTAATGTTAACCTCATTTTGTTGACTACGATGTAATTTGAACTATAATGTGAAAAAAAATTTTGTTAACATTTCGATGTATTTACCTTTGATCTTTTACTATGTAAGATAGTAGAACAATCTCATTGAATACATGAACCACACGTACGCTCGTGTAAAAATAAGTATTTGCATTAGCTTAATATGAAAACAAACAATACATACAAACGAATAGTTCGTGAAAATATTCTGGGCACGTAGAACAAAATCTATGAATTTCATACGTATATATAAACATACCATCCATGTATTTTTAGATATTTTTCAATGATATAGTGAATTGTTATTAGTAAAAGGCATTTCACTATAAATATATATTTGTTATCTCTTAAAGTCATCTAATCAACGTATTTGAACCAACATTACTGTATGGTTTAATTGTATTACAAGTCAGATATTGTTTTTATCGATTAAATCGAAAACATTATCTGTAATATTATATCGAATATATGTCATATTATGTAACACAAAAACATGCAATTGTTGATGTAAGTAGTGAAAATGATTTCAGACAGCAGTTTGAATTTGATTCTGACATGAAATATTTCCTTTTGAAACCGTTGAATATAAGCTTTATTTAAAGTGAACAATGAAAAAGAGATTTGTAAAATTCAAACCGATCAATGCCAACAATTTTCAAATGTATGTTAATTAGAAACTGTAAATTATACTTTTGATAATCATTTTTTATGGATCCTAGATTCAGTATCATTTGGTGTAAAAGGTTAGTAGTTACGTGAAGAACCCAAATGCAACAAAATATCTCTCAAGAGTTCCTGTTTTTAGTGTATTTTCAGTCGACGTCAAGTTTTAGTGAAATCGACCACCCAATAGTTTACTTTTGTTTAGGCTTGTCAATTATATCATCATAAGCAGAGATTGATGGTGGCTAGCAGTGGAATACATGATGCACGTCTCGTTTCATTTGAGACTCGTCAGCTGGATGTATCTGCATCTCGGAATCGATGTTCACACCAAGACTCGAACCCAATACCGTTCGTTTCAAACGCCATCGAGATATCCACTTAGCTACTGAGTCCCGATAGCCACTTGCTTGTGCAATGGGATGAAATTTAAATTTACTTTACATTGTTTGCTTGAAACTTTCCATTGATGTTTAGAATTACAATTGATCAGTCTTTGATTGGCATATGTGCAAACTGTGAGTGTTGCCTCGATATTGCCTTAATGTACAAGCAAATGGATATCAGGACTCAGTATCTAAATGGATGACTCGATGGTGCTTGACGCGAACGGCACTGAGTTCGAGTCCTAGAGTGAACATCAATTCTAAGATGCAGGTACATCCAGCCGACGAGTCCCAAGTAGGACGAAACGCGCGTCTTGGATTCTACTGCTAGCCACTATTCATCTTTGCTTATAATGCTCGTGAATTAATGCAATATCAAGGCAATGCACACAGTATGCACATATGCCAATATGAGACTGATCAATTGCATTCCAAAACATCAGTGGGAAGATTCAAGCAAAAAATACCAAGTGAATTTAATTATATCATCAGTTTGTTTGATAAATTAATTAAAAAATATAATCCACCAGACTGGTTGCAATTTTCTTCCCAATGGTTAGAAATGCATGCTTTTCTAGAATCACATTGTAATAAATAATATTAAGAAAAGTATGTGGTAGATTCCAAATGATTTGTAACGTATTTAATTGAGCAAATTGTAAAAGCAGTTTAAATATATTTGCTTTATTCTTACATATTTCGTATTTCTAAGAATAATTATTGTTTTTATTACCTTTCTTCAATCAAACCAAGTATACGAATCTATTGTAGTGAATATTATATTTAAAATTATATTTAATCACGAGTCCCATTTAAACGGTTTATTATCTACTTCACCAGCAAACATAAACAGTTTACATTGTTTGATGATATCTTACACAGTTTACTCATATTGAACGTAATTCCATGGGCCTTGAATTTTTGGTATCCTTCAAGACAAGGGTTCAAAAGAAACTGGAGTAAAATACTTGTTAAATGCTTAGATGATTTTCGTCATGGATCGACACCAGCTGAGCAACTACTGAAAATCAAGGAGAAATGAATTAGATATTTCATCCACATTTAAAATTCCTTAACAGTATGCAAAGATGATCCAGCTTGAGGTTTCATATTTGTGATGATTGAGTAATTCTCTAATCATTTTGTTAGCATCAAGTGATCGACAACCACAAATTTGAAACAACTTTCAATTTAGAGTAACGTTTATCAAATGCTAGTGGTTAGTAACTATTTCACTTTAAACATAATTAAACTCTCCTAAAAAAACTGCTTTATTCATCAACTTAATCATTATATATAGGATATAACTATGAAAATGTTTATATTGATGGAAACTTGACCAATAAGGGAATAAATCAATAAACCTAGGAGTTTGTATACAAATTTTCAAATAAAATAATGTAGTTTGCACAATAAAAACACTTACACATATACAACATTAATGACTAGGTATTTGTTAGAGTTGTGTTGTCAATAATATATATATATATATATAATATAATGTTTTTCAATCGATATTTACTTTACATTGTAAGAGTATTAGGTAGTCTATTAGTTATAGTCTTTCGAAACTTTGATATTGTATTTGTTCATTATGTCTATAATGTTAAATTATAAAATGTTGAGAATGGAAGTGTAATGAATACTTTACTTTTGTAATGATCTATATTA